ACAACCCACACACACCACACAACGATTATGGTTCAAGCCTTTTCCCTTTGGCCAAGATTGAACCAACTGCATCCAAGTTGTGTTGTGCACGTGTTGTGTTGTGTGAATCCCCCTGTAGGACACCTGAGCCCGCTGGGAGAACTGCTTATTGCACTAACAATATGGAAGGACTTTGTTAGAAGTGTGTGGTCAGTATTCGTTCCCTGTTGTAACACTTAGGGGTTTATGGTTGCACGCCATTGTTTTTGTTTAAGCTGTAAATTTAATAAAAACAAGTCCAACTCAGTATTACTTGTATCTGATTAACCTGTAGTGTTCGATCCTTCTGAAAAGATAGATTGGGGTGAACATGTTTTGACTCCATCATCAATGAGTTATATGCAAGTAGTAGGGGCCCAGAGGTTTAACAGTTAAACTTTCCACAAAATTAGAAATTAACTCAAGTTATCAAATACTCAAGTAAGTCATTTTGGCCCATCAAAATAAGAATATGTTATCACCACATAAATACTGTAAAATGTAATTTAATTCTCAAGATTTTTTAGTTTCAACAATACCTTCAAAAAGAAAAAGCAAGGGAAGCTTTATTTTTTGTATCCAATGTAAAGCCGTTGGTTCTTGGAATACTGTTTTGGTTTTTCTTTAACAAAAACCCACTATTGGTGACTAATAAAGTGGACTTCTGTATGTGGAGTGAAATTGTATTTTTTTCAAAATGTTAAAGAGGTTAGAAGGAATTGGGGAAAGGTTAATGACCTGCAAACACAAGCTTTACCTCACCAAGAACTCAACATGGATTGTTTTGGAGTTACAACCGCTTAAACTTTAAAGTTCTCTGCATCTCCTGTCAAAACACTAAAAGTCTTTTTTTAGCTGAGCTTTTTTTTTACTTGCTTTTTTAATTCCGATCATTCACGCCAACAACTGTCCATGCCATCACATTGAAACTAAGGTTTCCACTTATTATTGCGAATTATGACAAATATCCACAACTTTTTTGAATAAAGGACTTTATGTAAACACATTTACGTTATTTTCGATTAATGTTGGGATGTGCCGAATGTGTGTGTGTGTTTATATGTGTGTTTGACCTAAATATTATTTTTAATCTGTGGTTATCAAGAGAGATCTAATGCTTTCTAAAAAAAATGGTTTCTAGTGATTGACGCACACACACTCACAAGATTATGAAAGATGAGAACAAGATAGTATGTTGGTGTTTCACTGGATGGGTACCAGATTTCCGCTATATCCCTGGTTGGAACAACATGAGAAACAATTAAATGAAACAGTGAATTGAATATTTCTTCTTCTTTTGAGGAAGTGGATGTTTGTATTCCAAAACTGGCAAATGTATGGGAGTTATCAGGTCAGGAAAGCAAACTGGAATTGGACCAAGGTTTTACTGCAGGCACCACCCTGACAACGTCTTGTTTCTCACTGTTTGCTTCACACCAATAAATAGGCTAGAACCCAGTGTGGCTCTGGACCGGAGCTCAGTGTGCTCAGCAGGAACCGGCTCAGGGTGAACTGGTAGTGACTCACAGTGCTGCTGCACGTGCATGTGTGTGAGGTAATGTAGAGCTCAGTGAGACACACAGATTTGGCCCATTCACATTGTCAGAAATACGAGTAATATAGTAAATAATTTAGCACATAAATAATTAATAAAACTCTGCTTGGCATCCTGCTGGTCTGCACTGGATTCCTGTGTCCTGTTTGGCTGTGTAGCCCTCTATTCTCCTACCAGTAAACCCTGAAGCCGTAGTGGCTGTCTGCTTGTTTCTTTTTGAATTATTTAACCTTTATTTCCAAAGGAAATGTAACAGGGCTCTGGTCCACTTTAGCTTGTTGTTTCGAGTATAAGCAGACTTTACTTGTCTCCCTACTGGTTTCGCATTAAATGGCTTAATCGACACAGAGGGAGAGCTTCTCAGAACAGTTTGTAGTGCCACTAACCTCACCTAAATATAATGACCTGGTCAAATTTAGTGCTTTAAAGATTTTAAAAGTTATATTTGATTACATGGCAGTTGAGGTAAAGTCCTTAAAAAATGAATTAAATGCTGACGTTTGATAGTACAAAATGTATCATCAAACGTAAAGGTCAGTTATGGTGTCAGTCCTTCAAGAGGACTTTTTAATATTCAACATTCAACCATCATACAGGGAGAGAAGAAAAAAAATAAAAAACTGTAATTTAAATTCCTACAAGAACAGGAAGTATACCAGAATGCAGTGCAGCAGCTCTAAAGGACCAGATTGCCACAAGTTGGGTTTTAAGCAAGTGGGAAGCCCAACAAACACATGGTAAAACAGTGCACAATGCAGTTTTACTACATGTCAGTTCCAAGGAAAACCCCAAACTTATCTGTTTTTTGAATTTTAGTTCAATAGTTCTAAAGCAGTAAATGAAATACTTCTTGTAATTTGAGTTCTGTATTTTGGTGGTATGTTTGGGAAGGTATTTGTGTGATTGACAGGGAGTCTCAGTTTATCACTCTCTGGTCTGGTGCTTTCCCCCTGCCTGTCCTACCTGTGCTCCTCCCAGGTTCCTCCCCCTTTGATCACATTAGGATTTTTAGATCCAGTAATGCAAACCCAAACCCCAGGTTTTAAAAACATCTCGGAGACCTCTACCCCTTTTCCACCAAGGCAGTTTGATGGCTATTTCGGAGCCAGTGCCTAATTTCAAACCAGTTCTTGGCGTTTCGACAGCCAAAGAAACGGCTCTTGGCCAGGAAAATTGGTCCCAATACGGCACCAACACTTTGCTGGTCTAGAACCAACAACCACTTACAACAGGGGCTGGGGGTGCCTTGTGTCCATCCAGCTATGTATTTATTAGCTATTTAGCACATAGATGCTATGAACGTAACATTGAGCTAGCTGTCTAGCTAACTAGTTGTTGCTCAAGCAAGCATAACTACTAATTTTTCATATCAATGTTAAAAGGGCTCATTGACTACTAGATATTGCAGTGCGCACGCAGCTCTAAATAAAAAGAGGACCCGAGCATTATGCATACAAGATTGGTCTTATTCAAGCCGGTTTCATATGGGAAGCCCAATACAATATCCATTGGTTATTCATTAAACAGATGACACACTGAAAGCAGATTTACTAAACACTCTCAGTTCCCAAGGAAAACCCCAAACTTTTAATCTGTTTTTTAGAATTTTAGTTCATTAATAGTGTCTTAATACAGAAGTATATGAAATACTATCTTGTAATGTGGAGTTACATGAAAAGAGACATTGCACATTTATGGCTCGTCGCCCTGTTCTGGGGGAACGTATTTTGTGATGACATAGACTAAGGGAGTCTACAGTATTATCACTTCTCTGGTCTGCATGTAGTTTCCGCTCGCGTGCCTGATCTGTGACACGAGCTCGCTCCCAGGTGTCCTCAGCCCCCCAGCCTTCCGGTCGATCACATTAGGCTGTTTAGATCGCAGCTCAGCCGGCATCCCACACACCCGCCCCCCCGCGCACGGTTTGGGGCAACTCGCTCGCGAGCACGCGAGCTCACCAGCCGCCGCGCGCGGGCCTTGTTCCAGAACGGGAGGTCTTGATCGGCTCACGCTTTCCGGGCAGCCCACTCGCTACACGCAACTCTTCGCAACACCAGTCTTTCTGCGTTTCGACCGCACCACGACGCGCGGTGGCCAGCGACAAATTGGTCCCACATAGGCACCACACTTTGCTGGTCTAGCAACAACACAGACCCCACACGCGTTTCCGCGCGAGAACGCGCGGCGGCTGCCGCTCCCTTGTGTCGACTGCGCCCCCTATGTATTTATTTACGCACACTAGATCGCCTATGAACGCTAACATTGAGCCAGTGATCTACGTACTAGTTGTTGCTCAAGCAAGCAATAACTACCTTAATTTTTCATATCAATGTTACATCTGTAATTCTTGCCGTTAGTGGAAAAGGGTGTATGGGGACTATAAATCCATGTATAAATGTGATCTTGTTCAATGAAGTGTT